TTGAATACATATGTACCACTGGGATTAAATTTGAGGGAGGAATATTAATGCAAGTCTATATATATTATTAGTGTATGTTAATTAGGATTAGGCCAAAGGTATTTAAGGACATGGATTTGAACTTATCTCGTTTCTGACGAAGGGGCCGTGCCCCGAAACGTATCTTTATCTTTACAACATGTATTTATTCATTTGAAGTTTAATAAAATTTATTTTCTATTTGAAGCTTTATATAAATGAAGTTTTTTGGGAGGCTAGTGATATTTATAATTATTTTGCCATATATGTCTAACTGGGAATGCATGGAAAGCAAGAAGAAAGAATACTTGGCGTTGAAGGATATGCGACATAGACTTGTTAAACTACAACATCATGAAAAAGTTTATTGTAGAAGCTTATCGGAGAACGTTATACCGAAAGGTTTGAGGTTGAAGAAAACACCTTTGATAGGAGAGGTATCGCTTTGGTTTAAGAAACAATGGCGTAGAGTGTTGTATGAAGCGGAACGAAAACTTTTGACGGCACTGAAGAGAGAAGTGAAGCGAAAGCAGATAGAAATAAGCAAGGATTTTCATAAGAAAACTGGTGAATTGACATTAGTTAGAGAAGATCAGATGGTAAGAAATTGGTTAGCGGATTTGGAGCGCTGTGAGCATAGATGGAACGAGGAATTGGCAGCGAGGCGCAGGAAGAAATTTTCAAAGTTATTGGGTAATCACGCGAAACGGAGACGAAGGGCATTGTCAAGGGAAGCAATCAACGATTTACGTACATTGGTTTCAGATTGTGTAGAGTTTAATGAACAGATAACGAGGGAAAATGAAGCGGGTATGACAACGGAGAATTCCAATACGTTTGATAGTGCGAACAAGGGCGATAAAAATATATGTGAAGAACAAAATTGGGCAGAGACAGACAACAACATGAATGAAGGCGGTGTGGTTCAGGAAAATCAGTCAGGTGAAACTAATGCATGTTTTTTGAGCGAAATAGTTAATGATGAATGCAACAACGAACAAAGTAAATTTGTCTCTGATAATGTAATAAATATCTCAAGTAGAGTTTTGACGCAGGCTGAGGTTTCGCTACTTTCAAGGGGTCTAAAGTTTTGTCCCACCCCTATTGAATTAGATATTTCATCTGTTAAAAGAGATATTAAGGAATTTGGTAGAAAGCTAAAATGTAAGGCATTTTTTCATTCCAAAATCGGTATGGAACAGGAGGGGCAAACATTTAGACAATTTAGGGAAAAATCAGCGTGGTGTCATACTGAAGTAGATCCAGCAATTGAGCTTTATCTTAGTAAATTCGAAGAACGGGTTTTGGCTATTAACGAACGGGGTAGTAATTTTAGTAATCTTTCCTCAGAGGAACAAGAAGCACTTAAAAATTTAAAGAAGTATCGGGATATTGTTATTAAGGAGGCAGATAAGGGTGGGGCTGTAGTTGTGTGGGGAAGGAAGGATTATTACGATGAAGCTTATAATCACCTTAATGATTAGCAAGTATATGAGGTTACTGAGTCAGATCCCTTGGATACGGTTAATTCTTTAGTAGAAAAAAACGTTGGATCCTTTGGTGTATAAAGGATATATATCTTTGGCCAATAGAAAATATCTAGTGGTTTCCAAACACCGTTTAGGAAAATTTTACTTGTTGCCTAAAATTCATAAGCGTTTGGAGAATGTACCAGGACGGCCGGTTATTTCTAATTGCGGTACGGCCACTGAAAGAATATCGGAATTTTTGGATTTTCATATACAACCTTTAGTGTGTAATGTATCATCTGTTATTAAGGATACTTCTGATTTTCTTAAAAAATTAGAGAGTTTGGGACACATTCCGTCTACTGCTATTAGAAGGGTGTATATATCTGTTATAACTCAAAGTGCCAGAACCAGTGTTTTTTTTTTCTAAGTTTTTTTCTAAGTCTTTTTTTTCCGAGTTTTTTTCTAAGTCTTTTTTTTTCCTCGTGAAAAAGTTTGAGTTTCTTTTCCCCCGAGATTTTTCCTAGTTTTTTTTCACCAAGATTTTTCCAGGATTTCCTCGTGACATTTTTCCCTCCCCTCCAGAAAAAAATTTTTTCGAAAGTCTTTCCCGAAAATTTTTTTTTTTTTTCAAACCATCAACACCTTATATAAATAAGGGGATACAAGGAAAGATCGTAGAAATCCTGAACCCGGAGTTACTGAATCACTTGTCATTGTTTTTTTTTCCATACTCGTTCGGAGTATGGAAAATTTTTTTTTTTAACTTATATGAATTAAAAATATACAATAAAGGATGTCAATCACCAAAGTCTTGGACTTTACCAAAGACTCGTTCTGTTTCGAAGATGCCGTCGCAAACAGGTACGGGTTTAAAAAGATTAAATTAACGGCATGTGATCAGGGTCCTCTTTTGTTGAAGGTTACAGATTGTCTGTCTTACGGAGTGAGTAAGAATAACAAGTACGGTAAGGAAAATCTTTCCGTTTCCTTGTCCCTTTGGGAAAAGTCGGAGTTTGTTTCTGTTTTAGAAATATTAGAAAAAGAATGTGCCAGGCATATCAACAGGTCTGGCGAAAAGATAATGAAATGTCTTTATCGAAAAGGTAACACTCCAATTTTGTATCCGAAGATCGATGATGAAACGGAAATCTATGAACCGAAGGGAGACGATCCCGTCGATCCCAGAAAATATTTAGATAAGAGATTTCATCTCGATGCGATCGTTCGGATCGAAGGAATCTTTATATCCGGCAGTACAACCTGTATTCAGGTAAAATTACACGAAGCAAACATATTGGAAGAAAAACCCAGGGTACCGAGAAAGAGACTTTTACGGGATTAGATTTCTAGAAATTAATTTTAATGTAAAATACATTAAAATTCCATTAAATAAAAGAATGAATCCAGCAACAACGGTACTTTATTCGGCGATGAAATTGGTGGGTAGTAACGAAACGGAAATTCCGAATGTAAAATTAACGGTAAGAGAAGCCGACGTTTTATATGCGACGTGTGCCATCTGTGCATCGTCTGCATTATCCATCTTGTTATTCGTATGTACAAAGTTGATAAAAATGTGTCGCGAGAAAGAAAAGAAAAAAGACGAATTACCGGTTTATACACCGTCCGCGTGAGAAATTTTAATTTTATAAGAATTAAAATTTATTCAGGATGATCATTACCAGCAACAGTTCGAACGTGATCGGGATCAGAAGACAACCGATTAGGCTCGTCCACAACAACATTCTCCACAGGAATAATTTCATTTATTCCATCGTAATTTTTAACGGTCGTACTGACATATCCGATTTGTGTATGAATGCTGGTCGTTGCATCCCCGCGATCGAATCCAAATCCTAAATTAAACATTTTACGTCTCTTATGGTTTTTATTTCGCTTCTGGGTTTCACCGGATTTTGAAGAAAGGCATCCCATCTTTTAATTAAATGAAACC